ATTTCTTTAAAAAAATTTAAAGAAAACAGGAAAAAAAAAAAAAAAAAAAAAAAAAAATTAACAGAAAAAAAAAAAAAAACAAAAAAAAAAAAAAAAAAAAACTAGTTGCCAAGGCAATGTTTCTCATTTTCATTTAGTTTAACTTGGTAACTAAAATGTTAATATATAAACGTATTCAATTTATTAGAAATTATTAAAATTAATTAAAACAAATAGAAAGACTTAAATAAAAATAATGTCAAAAACACAAAACTTTAAAATGAAAATTAAAACAGAAAATCTAAAAAATGAATTTAAAATATTAACAAACCCTATTATAGTCCCCTTACAGCTGTGGTTGCTATTGTTTGCAATGGATTATTAAATCTAACTTCCAAAGTACATACTGTATTAACCTAACGTTGGTTTGTTAATCATACTTTTCATGTGATATGAGCCCCTGGTGTTTGTTTGGTTTTCTTTTTTGTACATTGTAAGTGTTGTTACAGACATGATATGTACATGTGTCAGTCTCGTAAGTGTTTCGAGAAAATGCAAACAAAATAATATTACAAAAAAACAACAACCCCTATAATAGCCTTTGAATGATACTAAAATAGCACTGTCTCTGAAATACTAAAAGCACATCTCTTCACCCCTTGAATTCAGCGTCGTCCTCGATGGGCGGCAGCGCAGACTTGGTGGGGTGGCCTGAGGCGGACATGGACTTTACATGCCGCGGCCGAGTGGACGCTCCTGGAGACACAGAGGAAGATGCACTCGCCGAGGCCGACATCTCCGTCAGACTGAGACAGAGAGACCACGAGAAAGAGACATACATGAGATAAATGAGCCAGAAAAATGCAAACATTTGCACACATCCGTACTGACATCATATGTGATCAAAAGACCACGTATTATGTTCTTTGGGGGCTAAACAAATATTTATGTCTCTATCACACCAAACGCAACACAAATTGCAAGCAATTTTGCACATTTTAATGTCAAATAAAACCCCAAGACCAGGCTTTTTTCCAGTATTTTTTGCACTGATTCTGGAGTAAAATATTAGTGCTGTCAAACGATTAATCGCATCCAAAATAAAAGTTTTCGTTTACATAATTTATATATATATATATATATGTGTGTGTGTGTACTGTGTATATTTATATAAATACACACACATGCATGTATATATTTAAGAAAAATATGAAAATATGGTATATTAAATATATTTATATATAAATTAAATTATATGAATATAAATATATACATGCAAATATTTTCTAAATATATACTGTATGCGTGTAATAAATATACACAGTACACACACACATATATATTATGTAAACAAAAAATGACAGCACTATAAAATATGTAAAACTGAGCCGATAGTATACTACAAAAGATATCATCCTTAAGATATGAATATAATTTTTATGAATGTCTTCCAATACGTTTTAATTTATTTTAGTACATTCACTTTAAACTAAATGAAAATGAGACATGTTGAATTTAACAATAAGCTGAAATAAAAATAAGCCTAATGTTTTAAAGTGTATTTTATACACTTTAAGTGACTCAAATGTATTTTAATGGTTTTAGTTTTAGTTAACTATAATAACCCTGGTAGAAAAAGACCTCACAAATCACAACTGCAAGTGTCATATTTGCATATACGAATTTGTGTGCGCGATCTTTGTATGTATATTTTCACAAAGAAATCACGATCCATCAGTAACTTTCGTACTTGTTCTAAATGTATGCATTTATTTTTAAATCACATTCAAACATGCACGAACAACTGAAACCACACATACGCAAAAAACAACAACAACAAAAAACACTCTGGATGGCCTTATAAATGTGTTAAGATTTAGACATTTGAAATATCTGCACTGTGCGAAGTGCCCTTCTTTTCGTTTTTACCTATTTGTTACCATTATGGTTTCCACACCTGCGCTGGAATGAACACATGACCCAAGATCTTGTGTCTTATTGGTCAGTGTTTTTGTTAAGCTAATGTTCATGTGAAGAGGTTGATATCAACACGGTTTTAAATTCTGCTCACCTGCTGTCTTTGCCGTTGGGTACGGCTGAGTACCGGTCTGTACTGGATCTCTCACACACGTACGTATTTCTCCTCGTCATTGCTCCAGCAGCGCTATTCTGTTCACACAAACACACTGTTAGTCTACTGCTAGTCGTATGTATTTGTGCCCCGCATCTGAGGCACATGACCTCTCACCCCTGAAGCTGTGGAGGACTTCCTGCGTTCCTGGACCACCAGAGGAGAGGCGGCCATGTCTCCTTTAGAGCTGGAGGAGGGCAGCTTACACTCCTCCTTCTTCTTCTCTCCCTCCACGCTGCTGGCCTGAGAGCGTTTGGTGTAGGAGACGGCCGGAGGTATGGACGGAGCGACTGCACAGAACCAGACAATCATGCTCAGAACAACACATCCACGAACAGCTTCAAATGAAAGCATGTCATCTCCGAGTCAAATGCATTAGATAGATCGATCATTAGTTCTTTTTAGAATATGGGAACTTGTTGTGAGGCCGAGTTGTATTTAAAAGGAATAGCTCACCGAAAAAGGGAAATTCTGTCATTTGCTCATCCTCGTCATGTTCAAAGCTGTATGATTTTCTGTGGAACAGTTGAAAGTTGTTTTGAAGAATGCCGGTAACCCAACAGGTTTCCGGGTGCCATTGACTTCCATAGTATGGACAAAAAAACGCTATGGGAGCCAATGGGATTTGAAACTGTTTGGTTACCAACATTCTTCCAAATATCTTCATTCCACAGAACAAAAAAAACTCATACAGGTTTGGAACAACATGAGAATTTTCATTTTTGGGTGACTTTTACTTTAAAATGTTCTTGGAAACCCCAGCAAGTTTTACCACAGACCTAAAAATCCATAATAAAAATTTATTATTTTTTCATTTAAATTAGTGCTGGGCAACGATTAAATCGCAATTAACAATATATGTGTGTGTGTACTGCATGTATTTATTATGTATATATAAATACACACACATGCATGTATATATTTAAGAACAATTTTATATATTAAATATATATATATAGGCGTAATGATGCTGAAAATTTAGCTTTGATCACAAGAATGTATTACATTTTAAATAGTGCTGTTAATCGATTAATCACATCCAAAATAAAAGTATTTCTTTACATAATATATGTGTGTGTACTGTGTATATTTATTATGTATATATATAAATACACACACATGCATGTATATATTTAAGAAAAATATGTTACATTTATATATTAAATACATTTATATATAATATAAATTATATGAATAAAAATATATACATGTAAATATTTTCAAAATATACAGTATACTGTCTTTATACAGTATATGCATAATAAACATACGCAGTACACACACATATATTATATAAACAAAAATTACAATTAATCGTTGCCCAGCACTATTTTTAATATAAAACCTATGCATGCCACATTCTGTATGTAGACTACACATCCAAAATGACATCGGCAAATTAATTATTAGATTAAAGCAATAAGCCCCGTGAAGCCGTGGTTTACAGTGAATTTAGAACAGCTACGGGGCGTTGTTAGGCACGACGCGAAGCTTCACGGGGGTTACTGCTCTTCACGGGGCTTATTGCTTTTATAAAACGGTTATTCCATATACGTAGTAAGGTTTCACAAAATAAAACAGAGCAAATAAAGTGTAATGATATTAATAAAAACAGTATTCTTCCACCAAACAATGTAGTTCCTCAGAAACAGTTGTGGTTGCAACAAAGTGGTTGTCAAGCAACACACAGAAGTAAACAACGGTGTATGTTTGTAGAGTATTATACAACAGCTTCGAACGCGGCTCAGCCAATCAGAATCAAGGACCGGAACTATCTGTTTTATAAAACTGATTATGTTTTTCTGGGCTAAATAAATGTGTTATTTAGAATGATTTGAAATGTTCTCTGTGTGCGTTTTGTACCGTGGTCGCTGAATCGCCGCTGTTTCTGCGTGGCCGAGATACTGCGCTGGACTTTGGAGTGTGCGGGTGACTGCGTAGAGCTGTTGTTCAGGTCGCTGCTGGGTCGTGACCTTTGACACAGGTTGGTGGTGGACAGCGAATCGCTTCCTTCAAACTAAAACAAGATCAAGGTTATTATAGTTGACTAAAACTTTCACATTTCAGCTAGCTATACAAGGGCAACATTTTAACTTGATGTAATAAAATGAAATAAAGCAAATGAAACACAACACAGACATTTAAAAAAGAAAGAAAAAGAAAAACTACTAAAATTGATTAAAAACAAAACAGAATTACTAAAATTTGAATACAATTAAAATGAAAACGGAGCTATAAAAGTACAAAATTCATTCAAAATATTGATAAAAACTATAATAATATCTCAATGATGGTAAAATAGCACTGCACAGAATACACTGAAGTGGATGAGAGCATTCAGTAATTACGACTGATGTTTTGGTTAATCAGTTAATTAACACGCATGACTTGCCTCTGGAGGTTTCCTGCCCAGCAGAAGATACGTGGCCATGACCTCATCATACTTCTGCCCTACTAACGCCTCTGTGATCTCATCTTCAGGGAAACCCATAGTGATCATCAGCTCTGGAAAAAACAAAGACACACACAGAATTTCATTCTCATTGTATGTGATCCCTGCATAAGCGCACAAACTTTTGGCAATGTAGTCTATGATAGAGACATAAAACCTTGATTTTTAAGCATTATTTAAAAAAATGCATTAGAAGGAAATAAAGAGAGAAAGACAGAAGGGTCAGAGAAGGTACAAACCTATCCGTTTGGTGTCGCTGAAGTCTGGCTCAGGTTCTGTATAGGGCTTCAGTTCCTCTTCCTCGTGACCTACATTCATCCAGCGGTCCTTCATGATTTGCTGTGAGGCATTGATAGACATTAAATTACACCTTTGCATATGAATGTATATTTATTTACTATTAATATTTCATCAATTATCAGTTTTAGCATGTTAATGGATATTGTCAAAAATATAGATTATATATATACATCTCAAAAATCGCTCACAGTAAACGCACATCCTTATATGTGCTGTGAGTTTCAAATGCACCAGGAAAATTTTATTTTCACATTCACATAATTTCCAGCATTTTTTGGACAGATTTGTAATGAGGAGCATTTGTAAACCTGTTGTCATGGACGGTTTTTCACCAAAACAAAACTTTGAGGGTGTAACTCTTGCAGGCAAAGAAATTAAATCATAAGTATTGGAATTTTACAACTGTAAACTAAAATTATATTACTTATTATGAAATGCAGTGCAGGTGTACTTTCAAAAGCAATAAAGCATGTTTAAATTGCTCTAAATGCTTTTTCCATGTGGTATCAAATGTAGTATCAAATATTAATATTTGTCAAGATGTCAGAAATGGCAGTATTGGGACACTACCACCAAGACATACACGGCCATAGCTATGTTTCCATCTACCTATTTTTATGCGCATTTTGGATTATCGCATAAAAAACGCTGGATGGAAATGCCAAGATGCGCATAAATTCTTAAAATGCGCATTTAAAAAAATTTATGCGCACAACTGAGTAGGATAAAAAGTTTATCCAATAAGAAAAAAATGCACATAAACTACGATGGAAACACATTTAACGAATAAATTCCACCATGCGCATTGAAAAAGTCACGTGACTTTGCGCTATGAGACGGGATAACCTAACTAACCAGCGGACCGATCTCGTTCACAGCATCTGAAATGTTGTTTTGGTCGTTCTGAAAAGCCTGAGAAAAGTCTGTCGTCAAAGTACTTCTGTATAATTACTGTCTTACATGACTGCGTTCCCAAACAGCAGCATCCACCTCCGAAAGCAATGATCGCATTTATTGTGTTATGTCTGCTCTCGCTGAAGCGCAAGTCATTCATTACATATGAAAATTATTATATTCAGTGGCTTCTCCTAGTTTTCTTCGAGATATTTAGTGGCAGTTTATCAGGAAGTGACGATTTTGTTCTCTTTGACTCATTGGATGGAAACGGTGCTTTATTCACAAATGTTTTATGCGATATTCCAGTTTTGCGCATAAGTTAAATTCGGATTTTTGAAGAAATATAGCTCATGTTGCTGTGAGCATGCAAGACAAGCTACTGCACAAAGACATAACGATATCCTCCATAGCAGATCTAGACAGGTGGTGCTGGGGAGGAGGAGGGTGTCGAGGAACTCTTCTGTAAGCCAGCCTCACAGCAAACACTGAACTAGACTATTTAAATATTAAACAAGAAAGCTCAAAGGCTGCAGATATAAGAGAGGTGAATCTGCATGCTCCATTTGGTTTACACTGAGATAGCTAGAGGATTAACATTGAATACCTATCAGCTTGCACTAGAGTGTCCTGACTGAACCTCAGGTCATTTCTATACAAGTTTCTACTCCTCGAGACACGCCAGATTTAATGTTAACAAATGTGTGATTAAGATTTGATTTCACATGACTTCAAAAGACTTAAAGTGTACAGGACTACTTTTATGAAACTTTTTATGGTGCTTTTGTTCTTTACTGAGTTTACAGTGGCCCTGTTCACAGTATGCTTTCGTTGTATGGAAAAGAGCATTAAGACATCTCATTTTGTGTTTCACAGAAAAGTATATTTTTCTATAGTTCTTTTCAAAATTCATACGGGTGTGTGAAATGTGTTCATCAGCCTCACCTCTAAACTTCCACGTTTGCCTGGATTTAGCACCAACAGTTTCTTCAGAAGGTTTTCACAGTCTGTGGACATGTAGAACGGTATACGATACTTCCCTCGCAAAACTCTCTCTCGCAGCTCCTGTGGACCAACATTCAGAGTGAGGACCCAATACAGCACATACAGTCAGAGCAATATGCTTTCAGGGAAACTTGCTGCATTTTCATTTAGGTAAACTACATAAAAACATAAGCCTTAAATGGAGCAGTGGAACAGTTTTTTGCTTTGGCAGACTTTAAAGCAAACAGTGCATCACTATTACCTCTTCACACCGATGGTAAAAATTCACACAGCAATGAAACTCCAAATAGGGTGTTTTTCACTTAGCAAAAAATGCTTAAATTACCAACCAACAAAACTAACCAATAAGAAAAAAACAATGCTTTTGAGCCCCAACTACAAGAACCGTAAGTTGTTAGCAGCAAGCAAATTTGACCAAATTTTATATGGCAAACAAAAGGTCACAAAATAGAAATTACACATTTAAACAATAATGTTGGGCGGTTAGTTGTGCTATACTGGGAACATATTTACGGCTAATAGGTATTCTATATGTCTAAGCATACATAAAAAATCAGAAACCCCAAAATATTTGGGAAGCAGTTTTAGGATTTTTAAATATTTATTCAATTCAAGTTTATTTGTATAGCGCTTTTCATGATACAAATCGTTGCAAAGCAGCTTTACAGAAAATTTTACGTTTCTACATTATATTTAGGTTTAGGTTATTAGTGGTGACTATGGCAGAAATGTACAGTTATGTTGTGTTCACACCAAAAGCGAATTTAATTATTCGTAATGTAGATTACATACAAAGTCAATGCAAAGACGCGAACAGACACGAATTTGTGCCGGGCGATGCGAATGGCGCAAATTGGGCGACGCGATTCCCACAAATGCGCAACATACGCCTCAATCACCTCTTCCATGCAAAAATTTGCATATTAATATTACCAAATATTCGCTTCGCGTTTGGTGTGCACACACCATAAGAATCATGCAGTCAGTTACAAATTACACGTAATCAAACAGACTGTAATGTAATGTATGTTGCGATTAAACTTTGCAAATGAAGCAAAATTTGGTAGTTTTATATTTTGTTCCAGGGTTAAAGCGTTTAAATTTGAAATATAGAGAAACCTTTCTGATTATTTTATTATTATTATTTTTTGTGGAAACAGAGTTTTGTTTTCAGGTTTCATTAATGAATAGAAAGTTCAAAAGAACAGCATTTCTTAAGATTAGAAATGATTTGTAACAATGTAAAATGTCACTTTTGATCAAGTTAATGCACATTTGTGACCCTGGAGCACAAAAGCAGTCATAAGTCGCTGGGGTATATTTGTAGCAATAACCAACAATACATTGTATGGGTCAAAATTATTGATTTTTCTTTTATGCCAAAAATCATTAGGATATTAAGTAAATATCATGTTCCATGAAGATATTTTGTACATTTCCTACCGTAAATATATCAAAACTTAATTTTTGATTAGTAATCTGCATTGCTAAGAACTTCATTTGGACAACTTTAAAGATGATTCTCTCAATATTTTGACTTTTTTGCACCCTCAGATTCCAGATTTTCTGATTGTATCTCGGCCAAATATTGTCCTATCCTAACAAACCATACATCAATGGAAAGCTTATTTATTCAGCTTTTAGATAATAAAATTAAATTAAATTGACCCTTATGACTGGTTTTGTGCTCAAGGATCACATTTGTTTAATAAGGCTATTATTTTCTTTCAAATAACATTCTTACTAACCCCATACCTTTGAACGACAGTATGTGTTTATGTATGCATGTGAAGAAAAAATCAGAATAGAACATAAAACCATTAAAGACTTTTAACAGTGACTTGCATAATTTTGCTTAATTTTGTCGCATCGTTTTTGGTGTAAATAGGCCTTCAGTGACCTTGAATATAACTAGAAATGACCTTCAAATTCTGTCCGTCAAAGGGAAGTGAGCCGCTGACAAGCGTGTACAGGATGACCCCCAGACTCCAGACGTCCACCTCTGGCCCGTCGTACTTCTTCCCCTGGAAGAGCTCGGGAGCCGCGTACGGAGGACTGCCACAGAACGTGTCCAGCTTACTCCCGATGGTGAACTCGTTACTGAAGCCAAAGTCCGCTATCTTTATATTCATGTCCGCGTCTAGCAGCAAGTTTTCAGCCTTTACAGAGAGAGACGCACAAAGAAATGTAGCAAAGCGGTCTGCACAGTGCACGGTCATTAGAAATCAATGAAACACAAATCACTAAAGGTGAGCAGATCTATACCACAGCCTTAAACGGTGTGCGTGTCTCACCTTGAGATCCCTGTGGACTATTCTCTTCTGATGGCAATATTGCACTGCAGACACAATCTGTAGTCACACACAAAGTCACATTAGCATGATAATAATAAATAATACAAATAATACATCATTCCACAAACCAGCTCTTTTGTTTATCTGCGAATAGAAGCTGAGAAAGTCTGCAAATCCAGCATGTGTTTGTATGTGCTAGACAGACACTGTAACATGTCTTTATGTCACTGTAGTTGAGAGCGAGACAGACTGGGGTCTTATATTCTGACTAATCAGTGAACTGCAGTCTGGGGGTTTCATTCGCCATCATTAGCAAAGCACGAAGGAAAATGGCCAATTAATTATTGCAGCGCTGCAGGGGGTTTAATTACGCTCAAACTGATGTCTGTTTGTTTACAGTTGTCACATGAACAGCTGATCAGAGGGAAACTTGACAAACACTGTATCACCACTAGAGGGTGCTCTGTACAAAAGCGTATTAAAATTAATCAACATTCATTAAAGGTAACAAAGGAGGAAGATGCCCCCAGTGTATTTATTGATCATGACATGACTATCATAATTATTTCTTTCTTTCTAAATGTGTCATTAATATCAAATACTAAATCTGTTAATGCATTTAAATAAATGTTTTTTTTGTCCTTTCAGTTGGAGGATTCATCTTTTCCACCAAACCACTGTCAAGCAGAAGGAAAATGTTTAATGCAATAAATACAGTTAAAATAAGTGTAATTATTCTGACTAACTGAGTGTAAGCCAGTACAACAGCACGTTAATAAACGGCAATATTTACCCACATATATCTGTACTAAAACATTATAGAGCATGCAAATTCCTTGTGATTTTCATGATCAAATTTTTTTATATTTTATATTGTTAACAAAATTATACTGAACAAGTAATGTACGATGTTAAATTAAAAAAAATTACTTGTACTTTTTCTCCATATTTTAATTTTTATCTCTTCTGATTTTAGTATTTAGTAAGCAACAATTCTTGTAAGTATTTATTAGATGCTATTAGATACTTTATTTTAAGGCCCAATTCTCGCAACAAACCATTAACTACTACTTTTGCCTCAATAAACTTCTAATTTGCTGCTTATTAATAGTTAGTGAGGTAGTTGTTAACTTTAGGTATTGGGTAGGATTAGAAATGTAGAATATGGTCATGCAGAGCTTTATAAGCACTAATAAACAGCCAATATGTTAATAATAGGCACGCTAATAGGCAGATAGTTAATAGTGAGAATTTGGAAGGTGTTACCAAATCTATTTATTAGGCATCACTTATACATGACATATTAATACTTGTACTAATAGTAACTAGTTCAAGTTTAACTAGTTAATACTTATTTTTTATGCAAAAATGTACAGTACATTTTTACTGTAAGACACATTAGTAAAGTTTATACATGCAAATATTTATTTGTTCAACTAGATTATAAAACAACTGATATTCTGTTATTTTATAAACGTGCCTTGTGATTTAATACTAATACAATTATCATTTATAATTGATAATAATTAATCATTTGTTTACATTGAAATGCAGTGTAGAAGAGAAGCAAATATCTTTTTAAAAATCTAGCCCATTCACTGTGATTTGCTGTTGTAAATATTACACTGGAAATAGGTATTAATATGTGCTTTATAAGTAATAATAAACAGACAATATGCATGCTAATAAGCAACTAGTTAATAGTGAGAATTAGTCCTTAAAATAAAGTGTTACCCAGTTACCGAATACAATTTACTTTTAAAAATGTATTTTTGTTCTCAATAGTCACAATGTCAGCTAGATAGTTGATTTAAATCTCGGCTGTTTTCAATGATTCTGGTTCAGATGTGTGTATAGTATGCGTGTGTATCACCTGTCGAAACTTTGCTCTGGCTTCCTTTTCCTTCATCCTCCCATGAGCGACTAAGTAGTCAAACACTTCACCTGACATATAAACACAGACATTCAGAGATATGCATCATGACGTGCGCTAATAGTGATATTAAATATGAATCTCGCCCGTCCATCACACTCACCTCCACTTGCATACTCCATTATTAAATAAAGTGTCTTCTCTGTTTCAATTACTTCAAATAACTTAACTGGAAGAGAGAGAGAAACAGATACAGAGAGTGATTGACATTCAAAACAATTAAGCACATTTGTTCACAAGAGCGGGCAGCTCACTATTTTTTTGGACTAATATGGAGCTAAAATAGTATCAAAATTATCATACAAAATATGATTCGCAAACTTGCAATCATACTTGTGCATTTATGAACTGTGGTTTGAATCATATTTTGTGGATGTAAATTTTGTTACATATTCGCAAATCATATTTTGTAAATACAAATCATTTTTGACGCTATTTTAGCCCCATACCACAATGACGACAGATCTGATCTGTGCTTGATTCTCTCAGGAACTCATCTATGATATGGAGAAGCAACACACCAGGGATGCTTGTTATGGAGATGTGCTAAAATACACGCAAGACGTCACACACACGGGCTTCCTGTTTCTTTTCATTTCATTGTGTACTTTACTGTATGTGAAGAGCTTCTGTAATTCAATTTACTCTCGGTGGATGGACGCTAATAACGTCTGACTGCTTCCTGCATGCAGTCTTTAACATGCAGTGAGTGTGTGTGTTAGGAAAGATGAGAGAAAAAAATGTCAGGGATAGGTGGGTAATCACAGCTTTTAGTCTGATTAATCTAAAATCCAGCTCAGCCTCGGCCAATCAGAAGCCAGGAAGGGTACGCCAGAAACAGCCAGTCATGCTAATCGATAGAGAAGTGAAAACGGAGTCTTGTGCCGTTTAGAGAGGCACAAAAGAGCTGAGCTGGTCAGACATCGGCCATGCAGAGCTGATCGTGCTAAAGCAGCCCGTCTGAATGACTCTCCCGTGATTCCCTTCCATTAGGAATATAAATAATCCAGTTAACATCTCATAAAACTGGAGCGAGAGAAAAGAGAGGGAAAGTGCCATGTCACGGATGAAACTGAGCTGTGGATAAAAACAAGACATTGATTATCAGGTCTAAACGGCTCCAGGCTTGATCAGGTGTTATGAGGGTCAGTTTGCAGCCTCACACCAGTGTTGTTATACCTAACTAAATCTTGTAAAAATAAATGAAAGCTAAATAGAAAAATAGAAAACTATTTTAAAAAATGACAAAAGCACAAAATTACTAAAACTTAAAAAATAAAAGCTAGTTCAGAACATTTCAATAATTTAATAAATACTATAATAAATAAATACTATAGAAATGTGTGTATGTATATATGTGTGTATGTATATGTGTATGTGTATGTATATATATGTGTGTGTGTATATGTGTGTGTGTGTGTGTGTGTGTATATACAGTGGGTACGGAAAGTATTCAGACCCCCTTAAATTTTTCACTCTTTGTTATATTGCAGCCATTTGCTAAAATCATTTAAGTTCATTTTTTTCCTCATTAATGTACACACAGCACCCCATATTGACAGAAAAACACAGCATTGTTGACATTTTTGCAGATTTATTCAAAAAGAAAACCTGAAATATCACATGGTCCTAAGTATTCAGACCCTTTGCTCAGTATTTAGTAGAAGCACCCTTTTGATCTAATACAGCCATGAGTCTTTTTGGGAAAGATGCAACAAGTTTTTCACACCTGGATTTGGGGATCCTCTGCCATTCCTCCTTGCAGATCCTCTCCAGTTCTGTCAGGTTGGATGGTAAACGTTGGTGGACAGCCATTTTTAGGTCTCTCCAGAGATGCTCAATTGGGTTTAAGTCACGGCTCTGGCTGGGCCATTCAAGAACAGTCACAGAGTTGCTGTGAAGCCACTCCTTCGTTATTT